CCAAATGCTGTACTGTGTGACCAAATGCTGCACTGTGTGACCAAATGCTGTACTATGTAACCAAATGCTGTACTGTGTGACCGAGTACCATACTTATGACAGTTTGAGCGTCATGTTTTTGTGATTGAGTAGCCAGCAGCTGCAGCCTGTCTCCAGAGAGCACCATATGGAGATGAACTAAACAGTCTTGTCAGCTCTGGTTTGTTGGCTGTGGCCTCTGGGTAATATTATGAAAAGAGAAACACTGGCCCGTGTTGTGGCAGCTGAACAGATTTTCGGAAAGGGGAAGACAGTGAGATGAGATCCTCGACAGCCTTCTGTCATGGCAGGGAAGTGTCCGTGGGCACACAAATTGAAACATGCTGTGGGAGATAGCCTCTACAGAGTTGCAAAGGCATTTGATGGTGATACTGATGATACAGTCAGTCAAGCTGTGAGTCACCGACTCCAGTCATCTTGCTTATATCTTCAACCCCGTTCTGCTAGTTAACATAACAAGTTAATGAAGTAGATACCTGCCTTGCTTATTTCCGAAAGATGTCTTTGTTTTGTTTGTGAACAGCAGATGTATGCAACCTTGAACTCGTCATTCCAGAAGAATTTAATCATGGACATGTGAAATCATAAATATTACGGTATTTGTTGAATGCAGCAGCGCCATATTAATATCTCAGGTTTCTGCCCAATACTTCTGCATTTACCCTGGCACTTTGTGTTGTGGTTCACAGCTTGGCGGATGTCTGCGCCTTTTAGCCCAACACATTTTTGTTTCTGCAAAGGATCTGCTTTGTGATGAATTAATTGGGTTAATGATTAGCACAGTTGTGTGACAAACATTGTCTGTGTCATAATGGGATGGTGATTGCAGTAATTAACAGCAGCTGTGAATAGATGTCTCCAGGATGGACACGAAGACAGGGAGGTCCCCTTATAACATACAGTTATGTGATATTTTAACTTCTTTCCCTTGTTAGTTAAGAGCCCCTTTAACCCCAGTGGCACATGATGCTAGACTCAATTTGGTGTACCATTCTATGTACTGGTCTGTCTTTTTTGTTTTGTTTTATTTACTTCTTTGAGTCCCAGACAACGCACCATGTGTGACTGGATCTACTTATATGTACCAGTTAACATATTATTATGCTTGTACATTTTGTGTGTGGTCAGTGCATGCTAAAACCCTGAATAACACATTTGTCTCCCACAAGGGATGTGTTTTTGGGCCCTATGGATGAAGTATACCCATTATTTTGTTGATTTCACAGCTGACTCACTGGGGCATCATCCTCTATGAACTTCTGAGAATGGACAGAGTTAAAGGGAGGAGGATTGATTTCACTGCAACAGTTATTGCCTTTGGCCCAGTTTCTCTCCACAGGGTACTTGTAGGCATTACTGTTTTCTTCGCTAGGTTGGTGAAGTAACATAACAGGCCTGTAGGCATTACTGTTTCCTTTGGTAGGTTGGTGAAGTAACATAACAGGTCTGTAGGCATAACTGTTTCCTTTGGTAGGTTGGTGAAGTAACATAACAGGCCTGTAGGCATTACTGTTTCCTTTGGTAGGTTGGTGAAGTAACATAAGGGGCTTGTAGGCATTACTGTTTTCTTTGGTAGGGTGGTGAAGTAACATAAGAGGCCTGTAGGCATTACTGTTTTATACCCTAGGTTGGTGAAGAGGCCTTTAGGTCTTACTGTCTGCAGTCTTCAAACTACATTTCGTATCACCTGTTTCATGGTTGCTAGGAAATTGATAGACAACTGTATCTGAGAAATGATCCTCATGGGCTGCTTAGCTAAGATTACGATATTTCACATTTGGAGAAACTATATGAAGAGAGTGCAGATGTATTTTGACTCTTCTTATTTTTCTTCTTCGGCATTCCAAGCCTTTGAGGTTCATTGCTGCAGATATCACCTGCCTTCGCTCATCTCTCTGGTTTGGCCTTCTCCCTCCACTTGTTGACATTAAGCGTTTGTAGGTCTGAATATCATTTTAATGCTTATGAGGCAAAATAAACCTGAAAACTTTAGGATATTATTCACTTGTTGCCATTGTTTTCTGAATGAAACAATGCTCACACTTTTGTCCAAATCCATGCAAGGTCATACGGTGTCATTAAATTTCCTTGGGATTCACCGGCTGTATAATCAAATGTGTTAGGCTGAGAGGTGCAGATATCACAGCCTTGCTGTAAATCCCAGTGCATTTTAAGGGCGAATACAGAAAAGAAGATTGCTGTTGGGCTCCAGGCAAGCTTATTAACTATTGCAATACAACGCCCACACAAAGTATGTATGCATGTACACAGAATGTTTTCTGTACATAGTATTGAATCTTATATTCAGAAACATTTAATGGATTTGTAGTTAATGTCTTGTTGACTGTTTTGTAAACACTGGTTTTGTTTTTTTTCTTTTTATTTATTCTTCTATTGTTGCAAATCTGATTTACAATTGATATAGTGGCTGTAAACCGAGAGTGGACAATGTCAGCACAAACCGTGACTGTTCCGACAATAAAAGAGGAGTCTCTCCCAGCTGCTGTTGCTGTTTGTGTTGTTGTTTCGTTTTCGTTTGGTTTCGTTATTTGATGTTAAGTTGCTAGCTTAAGTAAGTTAGATGGATCTTTTTCTTTTTCATCTGCTTCTCCTTCTCCTCATCCCCCTGCTTCATCATCATCATCATTATCTTCTGTTTGTCCATCCCTCCACCTGTTGCTTCTTCCACCTCCTTTTACATTGAGTTGTTTACCATAAGGGTCAGATATAAACTTTGCAAAACAAGTAAATTTAGTATTTCTGTAGTATAATCTGATCAATAATGAGAAGTGCAAACAGGTGTGACACGTTGATGGAAACATGTGTAACGTACTCAGTCACACAGGTGCTTTGTTTATGGCAAATGAAATTAGGTTCTCTGTCTCTCTCTGTGTATTCCCCCCCCCCCCCTTTCTTCCGCAAAGTTCCTCATATGGTATAAGTTAAACAATAATAAAGTATAAAATAACAAGAATGCATAATGTAATGATACACATATTCTCTTTCTCTATATATATATACATAAACATATACTGTGTCCCCCCCACCCCAAAAAAAAAACCCAGTTATCCAATGGCGCCTTTTTATTAGTTGACAGGAAAGCCATATGCCTCTTGCGGACCTAGATTTGTTTAAAAACTGTCAATTGATTAGTTGAACCTAATGTATTCTTGTGTACAGTTCAAACAACTTAGCTCATTAAATTACAAGGATTTTTAATGTCAAAATTATGTTCCTTTCAGTAGCTATGAGCTTCTTTCTTTCTTCCTTTAAAAAAGAATATATACTGTAAGTGTGTATATATATATATATATATAAATAATGAAACAGGATATCTACATGCCTTAGGATAGGTTTTGTAAAGGTACAAACACAAAACTGAGAATGGTTTATACTGTTTATTATAATATTACATTATATTAAATTTTGAAAAACGTGAAGATGGTTTTTAACAGTAACTAACACTCATCATCATCATCATCATCATCAGTTTCCACTTCTGCCGTTAAGCGTTGTGGGAAGGAACAGTTTGCAATCCATTGCTTGTTGGAGCAGCAATGGCTACTGTCATTCTGTGTCGATAACGTAAAAGTTCCTTTAATGTCATTAACCCATCCTGTCCTAGGACGGCCTCTTGCTTTCACTTCAGATCCTTTCATGTGTAGCGCCTGCATTGGTAGTTGTTCTTGCTGCATTTTTAGTAAATGATCAAACTATTTGACCTTCTGTTTCTCAATGAATCTGCTGCATAGTGGTTGTTCCTACAGTCTGTCTGATAATATTATTTCTAACTTTGTATCTGATGGTTAAGTTGGCAGCTTTTCTCAGGCATCTCATTTCACAGGTGTTAATTTTTCACAGGTTAGTCTTTGATGTCCAAGTCTGGCACTGATATAAAACACTAACTAACTAACACTAATCACAGCAAAGGAAGTGGGGGAGGGGGGGCAAACAGGTAGCTTTAAAAGAAGTTGAAAGGTTATCATAATTATCATCATCCTCCAGGTCAGCGTCATCACTTTTGTCATCATCATCATCATCACTATCATTGTCATCACTATCATCATCATCGTCATCACCAGCAACAATAAAAAATCTTCTTTTCTGCCCTCCCTGCTTCTTCTTCTTCTTTTCCTCTGCCTTCTCCACTTCTTGATCATCATCATCATCTATTTATCCCCATCCTTTCTTTTGCCCCTCTTGTATTATGATGAAAGATGTCGACTACAAATATACCTTAGTACCTAGAGCAAAGGGGCTTCCGTGGCTTAGGCGTTGCAAGTCCAGTGTAACAGCCACCTGCTAACGCTCAAATTTGCTTTTTGATCACGCCTCAATACACACACACATAAACACACACACACTGATATGAGAGCACGCAAAATACATGTGTATTAACACTGGTAAACAAAACGATGTGAGAAAACAAACATTGAATGTTTCTAAACTAAGGACATTGTGATGGGTATTTAAAGATTTAAAATGTTACAGACTGGAACCTCAGAAACCGAGGACAGGCGCCTCAGTAGCAGCAGCAGCCGCAGTAGTAGATTAAGGGGATATTATAAGAATAGGAGAGGAAGGGACAGAGAGATCGTGATATGGGATAGACAGGGGAAGGCAGAGAAAAAGATAAACGGAGGCTGTTAGTTGCGTATTCTTTACAGGACATTGCAGAACCAACCATAGAATTTTTTAGCCGTTGTGGTTTTTCTAGTCATATTTTACATTCAGTAGTTTGCCATTGCACCTGAGTGGTCAGCGCTCAGTACCACTGTCAAAACCAACGGAAAACAAACCTTCCGCAGCTGGGAGCGAACCCGGCACCCCGATATTACGAAGCTAGTTCGCAACGCCTAAGCAGATGCTGACGGAGGTTAAGAGGTAGAATGAGAGAGACACAGAAAACGAGAGTCAGACAAAGGGGAGATTTGAGACACAGTTAGAGAGATATGAGTTATTTAGGCGGCCGGACTGAGCACAAGATCAGCCAGACTGTCAGGGAGATAAGATACTGGATTGTAAAACCAGACAGCGTCCCAGCCGGGTCTGTATCGGGTACGAGGAAACCTGGAGGTAATGGCATGCACGTATGCATTGACGACAAGTCGCAGGTCTTCTGTAGCTGTTGATTTAGTCGTAGAGAGAACGTTTCGCACTGAAAAGAAAAAACAAAACAATAATAATTGGTGAAATGTAAGTTAATAAATGTGAGAAATGAATGAAATCTTGGAGTATCTATCAAAAGCCAAAATAAAATCCTCGCCTGGACAGTCCATGGATACTGCACCGGTCATTTACTTTACTTTACTTAATCACTCCTCTTCTACCTTGGGGTGTAGAGGTTTGCCAGAGAGATCGCCAGACGTCTCTATCAGCAGTTTTCTTTCTGGCTTTGTTCCATTCCAGTCCTCTGTCAGTTAGGGACTGTCGGATGTTGTCTTCCCAGCGCACCCTGGGTCGTCCTGAAGGTCTGGTTCCCTGGTTCTTAGCCTCCAATGCCTGCCATGGTGGCCGATTTTCTCCCATTCTGTATACATGTCCAAACCATCGTAACTGTGACTGATCCACTCGGGTTTGTAAGGACTGGGTATCAAGATCTTGACGAATTGTCTGATTGCGGACTTTGTCCCTTCTTGTCACTTGGACCACCTTTCTCAGATATCTCATTTCCGAGGCCTGCAGCTGGCTTCTGTGAGCTGTTGTCATTGCCCATGACACACACCCATAGGTCAGGACTGGTACATAGGTAGAGCGGTAAACAGCCATTTTCGTCCTCCTAATCCGAGACAAAGTTCCCCTAAGTGAATTTAAATAACGAACATTCAAAGAGTATCAGTAATGGCTCGGGCATATTGAGAGAATATTAGATGTCAGGGAGGTTGAAAGCTGTATACACAAGGGAGTTGAAGGGTTGTAAACCACGTGACAGACCAAGAAGTCGATGGAGTGAAAATATCCAGACAGACCTTGTCACACACCTCTGGGTGACCTTAATGGTCCGTGGCTGGTAACTGGGCCTATGACAGACAAAACTAACTTTGACAAACACTGGACCCGAACGCACACAGGGCACACACGACCATCTTTATTGCAAGTACAGATATTACAACAGGCAGTTTACTTCCCGCTGTATGGCCACCTGTTGCCTGGACCCTCTGGCTGAACGAGCTTTACAATCGCCTCGCTCTCCAGTCCGTTCCACATGCAATCTCGGGTGTGCAAACCACGCACACCCACACTTGTCCGGGGGACGTTCTTTCCTATCGTCACTCTGACCTACCAAGATGTCAGAGCCTCTGTTGAGCGCAGGGTCAGTGTGACAAAGCTAGACATTATCTCACAGAACATGTATTTAACTGCTTAACCTGGTCAAAAATAAATGGACACTACTAACTTATTGTGAAACAACACAATACATTATACCATTTAAATACACAGCACAAAAAGACTATCCTATTATACCATAATACTGTAAATCATCTATGCAGTCACTAAAGTAATATCCTAACTCTAACGTTCTGTTTGCTAAGACGTCCACTCGGTCCGAACTCTGCACCTTGAATCCCTGTGTTCTCTCACCTCGTGCCTTTTGACCCTTTAACCCTCTCAGTAAGGTCATGGAACAAGCATGTTGCGAACTTGTTCGGAAAAGAGTTCACTCTTACTTGTAGTCTTCAAGTGGTCTCTACTAAGCGCTAGTTTCGCCGTTGCAAACAGTACATACGTGGCCAGTCACGCCACTGACCTTTGTGTCCACTCTGGGGTGTACCCTGAACATGGTATCCCCATTTTAGGGTGTACTCCGCCACATGACTGTACTCACAGGGTTCTGACATTCACCCTTCCCTTGAACTGATACTTCCTGACAGAGTCAAGTATCAGCAAAGCATGGCCTGTAATCATGTACAATCATCGAAACAATTTCTATTGTCAACAATCAGTTACCTTAAAAAAAAAAATCATGTTCTTTGGGCCAATCACTAATTGACAAACTGTATAGCACATATTTAATGGGTCTGTAAATTCAATAGGTAAGCCCCTCCCTAATGGGTAGAAATGAAGTCAGCCCTTGACACAAATACGCTACTACTCATTAAACCTTCAAATCATAAGCGTAATGATAAAAATAATATTTTGGTCGGACACTCAAATCGTCCGGGACCCAATTACACCTTACTTCACTTACTGTGCAAGTAAGACGCCACCGTAAACACTCCCAAGCCGTACTAACGATACTAGTGAACACCTGGTGTCACAAACTGGAAAAAGAAGGCCAGCCAGAGAATGAACGAACAAGAGAGGTGAATTGAGGCGGGTGATATCTGCAGCAATGAACCTCAAGGGCCCGTAAATATTTAGGCAGGAGCATACTTCAAAACCTACCGATGTTCATAAGCTCAGGGCCTCCGTAAATGGCCTGTATGTCTGGACTGTGCTTGTCGTACACTTCTTGTACTCCTTGTACACTCTTGTCTGTGTTCATAATTGGTGTCCTGAAGGCTCCGGGTTCCACAATAGAAACTTTGATGCCTTGCCGCATGACTTCGCGTCTAAATCAAAAACAAATGTTTGAACATATTATGAGTTACAAAAATTGTTTGTGTAGAATATTATGTGAGTCTGACCCTCCATATATTCAACTGCATAGAATTACAAGAGAGTTGAGCTGAGTTGGGTTTTAAGAATCGACATTGTAGTACTCGGGTCATTCCAATTCCCATTTTAAGCAATCTGCGAAGCGTTCTAACTCCGATGGCACCAAAAACACTCTGACTGGAATTGCCTTTCCTTTTCGTGTGGAGTGTTGGCCAGATATCATCGTCACCCCATGTTGCATAATGCTTTTCAGACCATGATAATCTAAGTGTGCCTCAACACTGTTCACTCCCTCCTAAAGAACATCTAGCTTGTCATGAACTAATTTACCACCCAATAGCGCAGAGCCAGCAAGTCTGTCCGCTTGTTCGTTTCCTAATACATCTGCATACCCTTGAGAAAAAAAAAAATCAAATGATGCTAAGTACCCTGGACTTCTGAAGTGATGTATGCCATTCTGCACGAAGCATACCTGACTTCACCTTTCTCAGCATACCTGACTTCACCTTTCTCAGCATACCTGACTTCACCTTTCTCAGCATACCTGACTTCACCTTTCTCAGCATACCTGACTTCACCTTTCTCAGCAAGCTGTGCGAGTGAGTTACAATCACAATTTATGTGTGCAACTGATTCTCAAGCCAATGGATTCTCAAACTAGATGTTGGGATATCATATACCAGGCTTTGGAAAGAAAGGCAAGTGAGAAAATAGTAAGCTGATCTGTGATATCATAACATATAATACATACACACCAAAGAGGAGAGGGATGTAGAGACCGAGGTAAACAAAGAACAATGTGGACAGATAACATCAGAGAAATTCTACAGCCGTACAGTGTGTAGTTTTACAGTGGAGGTGACTAGACAAGCAAGAACATAACAATGTTTGGAGTAAGTTGGTTCATGGTATTTACTACATGACAGGATTTTTTTTTTAAAGACAGAAAAGAGGGAAGACATAATAAGCTAATTAACATAACAGACAAACTTACCGTAGTCTGTCGGAGAAGCCATTCAGTCCATACTTTGACACGGTGTAAGGGGTGGGTAAAATGGCCACACGGGCACCCATACTTGTAGTGATCACTATGCGTCCTTTACTTTTCCTGATAAGAGGTAGAAAGTGCCGTATTACGTCTATAGGTCCCAGAAGATTGACACTGAGGGTCTCCTGGATGTCCTCCCTGCTGCACATTTCAGCTGGCGCACACCTGCCCATAACTCCAGCGTTGTTCAACAAGGCCCATAATCCTTCAGACGATGTAACAAACACGGCAAGCACCATATTAGGGCATTTAGAATCAATTTACAAAAGAGTTACAAATTACTGAGTTTAATTATTTAGTTACTCATCTGTTCATACACACACATATACACACACATAAATTCATGTTGATTTCTTTTTTTCTTTCTCTCTCTCTCTCTCTCTCTCTCTCTCTCTCTCTCTCTCTCTCTCTCTCTCTCTCTCTCTCTTTCACACACACACATATATACACGCACACACAGAGTCAAACAAAGGATATCTACTGAAAACATTCTTTTCTTTCATAAATTTGAGTCTAACGGTTAACCTAATGCAAATCTCCCCAGATAAAGTAGGTCACTTTTCATTCACAAGTTTGTTGGGCTGGTCGACTTTCCTAAAGATTACAGGTGTTTCCCGCTCTATTGTTTGCTTTTTATGTTGTCTTGCATTCACGTTTTCATTCCGAGAAAGAGAAAAAGCCTGTGACAAAGGCTGTGTTAGGGCCAGTTTCTTCATGTTTTTGAAGCGTTAAAAGCACTGGCGTGCTAAAATATCCAAGACGCGATATCAACGGTATCGAGGAACACCACTCTGTCCTTGTGCGAAGGTCACGAGGCTCAAGAACTACCAATCAGAAGTGACCTCATGTGTATATAGACGGGGCGCAGGGAGATGAACGTTACGTGTTCCAGTCTAATACAAGTCCCGATTAGGGGCGCAAAGGTTTGTTATTTAAAGCTCCACCCCGGCTGTCATGGACAATAATATAATATAACATAACAGTTGAACTGAGCTTTCTGGGACATGCGCCTGGGGGCACTTTGTGTCACCGGATGTTTGTCCCTCGTTGCGGTGGGGTTAAACGTCCTGACTGGCTCATAATTTTGACATTCAAGTAATTTTAAGAGTTGTTCCAATTCCTTACAAAAATACTTTGGGTTAACCAATTAGTTGTTAGTTCTGTGTATCTAAGCATCGATATGTTTAAGCGTACTGGTTCTCCCGTCAACTAATGAAAAACATGCAGTCGGATAACTATGCGTTTCCTATTAAACAGTATATATATATATATATACTCTCACACACATACACTTATTTATTTGACAAATAATGAATCCAATGCTGCCTAGTCTAGGAACCGGTACACAGCACGATATAAAAAACTAGAAATCAAAGAAATCAAACAGTCTCTGGAAATGTGGCTGTACAGAAGAATAGGGGATATTTCTTGGAAACAAAAACATTCAGGGACAGAGGTTCTAGAAAGACTACTAATGGAAAGAAAATTACTGAAATATATATAAAACACGAAGACACGTGAAATACTTTTGACACATTTTAAAAACCACACTAGAGGGAAAAGTTGAGGGCAAGAGAGCAAGAGGCAGACAATGTTACAAGTTGGAAGATATCAAAAGATGGACGAACAGTAGTCTCAGAGAGTGTGCAACCAAAACAAGAGACAGGGCATCTTGGAGTTCTATTACAGCTGACCTTCAATGTGGAGACAGCACCTGATTGATCGATTGATTGACTGATTGATGATATAAGATCAAGATGAGACCCACCAACATTTGACTCCAAGTTAATTCATCTTTCAGCTTTTTGGCTAACACCAAAGGACCGGATCGCTTACCCGGGCAACAGAGATCATTACTAAATGCTGGAAATACACATAACAACCCCTGACCCATTAGGATAGTTAAGGTGTATCGGTGGAAGCACTAACGCACAACTCCCCCCCCCCCCCCCCCCCACCCCCGCACTCATCTTTCTATGTTTTCAGCTTGTTGAACACGTGTATGATAACTTAGTCCTGTCATTTTCTTGATGTTGTCCAGGTGACCCCTAACCCTCTATGCATGCTTATAGATGACTGCCTATCAGCGCCTAGTTGTATACTACCATACACACAACTCATCACCAACACCGCAACAAACATCGGAGAGATATCGTCGCAACGGCCCGTCGGCATGGAAGTTCATGCTGTTTGCCTACAAACCACCCCCAGCCCTCAGCTGACACCCGCCTCTATACTCAGTTTTTCACACATATACTTTCTATGCTCCGCCGCCAAGCCAGTCAATACCCTAGTTTTTCTTTATTCTATAATCTAGTCACAGACATATAACCACAACCACCCCCGATAAACAGCAGACCCGAGCCGCCAGGTGACCTCAAATCACCAAAGCCGCAATTGACACTTGACCCTGAATCATGTGACCCGAGCCTCGACCACGACCGGCTCCAGCTGGTGAACCGTGCTGCTGACGTCATCGGGTCGGGCAAACGATACGTTGACGCAGGGGTTCTAAAGGTGCGTTCCGGGGCACCCTGGGGTGCCGTGAGTGTATGCCAGGGGTGCCGCGGCAATAATCAAGAGAAATCGGCTAACAATTTTGAAATTATTAAAGAAGGCGTGTAGATACTTAGAAGTTAATATTTAAGTTGTCTTCCCTCGTCACTGTCGAAAATAATGCATTTCTTGTTTGAGAACCGCTGCGTAGTTGGCTAAACCGGATTGCGCGGAGACCGGGTGACGAACTCCTTGTGGTCCGGGTTCAATCCCGGGGGTAGGCAGGAAAGCCGCATTTTCTCCCAGATTTACGGTATTTAATCAAGGCCGAAAGATTGCGATATCCATAATACCGAGCCTAAGGGTTAACAACTCATGGCTTCTGGATACTAAAACAAACAAACAACGTATCGTAAGCCTGACCCGGTGACGTCAGCAACACGGCCCGTTAGCTGAAGCCGGTTGTGCCTCGACTTAGTCGCTAGGATGCCTTACTTTAGGAAGGCAAATCGTATTTCATTCTTTAGATCTGAACCACCCTTAGCAAAGGTTAAAGAGGGAAAAAGGGGCAGAAATAATATGCGTAAAGCTCCTATACACTACTAATAAGACACAAACATCACAGACCTGTGTTTGGAGGCAGCCTGCTCTCCACCAACTTGACCGCTTGTTGTATGCTCTCTGTACTTCTAATATCCAGCTCAACTGTGGTCACTCGACTGGAACAGCTCTCCGTCACAGACGTGGCTCCCTCTTTAGTCAAACAGCCAGCAAAGACGTGGAAGCCGAGCTTGTCAAGTTGTCTGGTGCCGGAAAAAGTGCAAGTATTTTTAATGACGGTTATTTAAAAAAAAATGTCGGTAGACATTTACAATCGGGAGCGTCGTGGTGTAGCGACTAGTTGCTTCTCTGTGGATCTAAAAGTCGTGGGTTCAGGTCTGGCTGAGCGGGATATTTTCAGAAATGACCTTGGCACCCAGGTCAACCAAGCCTTACTTGAGTAACAGTTAGAGACATGGGAAGTAAAAGTGGCCGGCGTGCTGCTGACTACGTCACCCACCAAGTGATGATTGGTCTATAAAATATAGGTCTAGCCCTATATGCCCAGTATGCTCGAAGGCGTGGAAAAGATCCTTTACACCCCATCAAAACTGCATAAACATGTCAAAGCTTTATGAAGCCGCGTATGTTGTTTTTAGAATACATGCATCATAATCATCATCAGTATGTGCTATGGCGATAAGCGTAGGCTGAAATATTTCGCCATCTCACACGATCACCAGAATTACTGATCAAGTCAGTGTTCTTGTTTCGCCCCATCCATATGACCAAAGCCATCCAAGTATAATTGTTCTTTTCGCTCTGACTGACTGACGCTCAACAACACATGGACATCAAACCGAGCGATAAAAACCCAGTGACACAAAGTGCCACTATTCGGATGAGGATCACCCGGGGGCAGGTCACAGAAACCCCCTCCAACCCATAAGTTTAGGGCCTCCACAGCCAAAGTGGGGCTTTAAAACCAAAAAAAAAAAAAAATTGCGTCAGACATTGGGACGCGCACACAAGCATTATATCTCAGAAGATCAGCTACAAGTGCAAGAGGACGGCAGCGTAAAAAATGGATCAACAACATTAAAGACACTCTTCACGACAGGACAATAGCCAGTGGCAGCCAGCGTGCACTGGACCGCAAATTATTACTCCCTACGCCGCTCAACGGTAGAAGTGGTTTATGAATTTGATGATGATTGGGACGCACTAGTAGTAGAGTACCGATGACATTTCACCCTCTTGATCCTTTTTCTATCCATCTTGTCAGTCGTTAACAAATTATGGAGTCCATGCTTTTTTTATAACATGTCCACAACTGACGGCGAGAAGCCTGAAATATTACGGTAGATTTTAAACAAATTTGTCCCCGCGCAGCGCCGTTAGTCTGCTCTTTTCGATTTCAACTGCCAAGGGATTTTTTTACGTGCGCAGAAATGCACACGCGCGTCCGATCTCACTACCCGACCAGAGTAAAGTCCAAATCCTCGTGAAAAAATCCCAGCCCTTACCAGGTATTGAACCCGGAACTTCTAGCACTCGAGGCGGATACCATGTCTCGTGACCACACAGTCCCCTAATCTATGTCTAATATCTCCCATTAATTTACGCTTTTCAGTTCTCGTAGAAGACTGGCGTTTTTTTTTTTTTTTATTTAATAATTCTATGATATTCTCTGCATTCTTCTCAAAAACTATATCTATTGTCACCTCCCCTGCTTATCGCTCATATCTCGTGTGCATATACACGATTCTGTGTAGTAAGTTAACACTGTTTTCTCTCTCTCTCACTGCAGTTGACATACTTTCTATTTAAGATCATTTTTAACTTTTTTTTTTAAAATCTTACTGCAGTTGACAACTTTTTATTAAAGTGTTCTTTTTTTTCTCCCCTTGTCCATCTTGCTAAAAGGTCAGTGGCGCCATGTTGATTCCGGTTGTAATCTCTGCAAGGCTTCCTGCGTTAAATCGTATGCATGAATACTCATTCAAATACTTGTATCATTCTTTACCCACCCAGGCCTTGTTCTCCGTCTGGGTTCATAGACCTCAGAGCCGTAGCTGCAGACACACCCTTTGCACGAAATACCGGATGCAGTTAAGGTTCTGCGGCTTAAAAGAGGGAAGTCATGAATGGCTCAGACGGAGGACATGATCAGACAGGTTTGCATCCTGAAGAACATTAGGTAAGGAGAAGAGAGGGTCGGTGCCAGCGAAACAGATTTGTGTAGAGTCATAATATCATAAGGCCGGGAGTCCAGAGAGTGGCCAGCAGGTGCCACGGAGAAGGAAATCAGCAATTCATTCAGCATAATGCTCGCTCGGGTGATGTGATTATTTATACAGATGAATCAGTGTCAAGAGGTTAGAGAAATGTCTAGGGGTTCTTAGCAAAAGCAGAAGAAGAAGAAGAAGAAGAAGAAGAAGAAGAAGAAGAAGAAGAAGAAGAAGAAAAAGAAGAGAAAGGAAGAGGAAGAAAAGAAAAAGAAGAGAAAGGAAGAGAAGAAGAAGAAAGAAGAAGAAGAAATAAGTTGTACTCACTTGGCTGCGAGATAGCCAAATCCAGAATCACATCCAGTAATAAACACATACTTGTCCGTTATGTCGCCTACTTTCAGTGAACGGATGATCGTGTCCAGAACGATATAAACTATTGCTACAACAAATATTACAACGCCCGTGGCTAGGCAGAACATGGTTATGGATGTTTCTGAAATTAAAGATAGGTGCACGGTCAAGCATTTTTGGCTGTGAAAGCCGCCATGGTGTCGAGGCTAGACCAGCGGTTTGTAAGCTGCGGGTCACGACGCCCCTTTTTTATGTTAGATTGAACTCTTTCACATATGTCGCCAAAGACCATCGGAAAACACATACTCATTGAAATTATAAAGGGAAGCAAATGTTTTGGGGTCGCCACAACATGAGGGAACTGTACTTAAGGGTCTCGGCATTAGGAAGGTTGAGAGCCACTGGACTAGACAATCCTGTTGATTGGACGTTCGAGGTATCAGTTCCTGACGGAGACTTTTTTTTTCGTTTTTTTTTTTTTTTCGAAAAATAATCTTGGCTCCCAGATTGACATAGCCTCCAATTGGTATTAGATAATGTCAAGGGAAGTAAAGGCAGCCGACGTGATGTGGACCACATCGCCCACCTAGTGCGAAATGGTCTAAAATATATAGGTCTAGCCCTATGTGCCCCATATACGCCTGAAACTGGAAGAAGGAGGGAAAAAGGGGTGGGGGGTACCTTAGAATTAGTGATTCTATCATAGCAATCAGTTTACTCTACTCGGCGCAGGCACCACTAAATGAATGTTTGTAGTTTATAAGTAGTTGTCCTCTGCTCTACACGGCATGAAAAATGGCGTCTATATGTGTGTGTGTGTGTGTCCGTGTGTGTGTGTGTGTGCGCGTGTGTGTAGGCAGTAATGGCAATATTGTGCTCATTCTTTTAGTATAATAGGTTTGCCTATTTTTTCATAGCTGCTCTATCAGGCTTGAGTTAGAAGAAGAACGGAGCACTTATGGGTTACACCCGTGTGCTATCATGTTGATCCGTGGAAAAACCATAAACACAAACATCATAGCTGCTCTATACAATAAGGTATATAAAGTTTTGTCACAAAGGTTCCCTGTGTGTTCCAGGGTCTTTTTTTCATGGAGGCAAAACAGAGAACTCTATCACTGACTCTTAATAAGCATTTGTAAACAGAGATTAATTAGGGGTTAGCTGAAAAAGGATGTGTCGCGCCGAAAGGGGCAGATATCACAGTCTAGCTGTAAATCATAACACAAAGTACAAACCGCACTTTAAGGGCGAATGGGAAAGAAGTTATGTAGGTTAAAATAACAGTCTTGGTAACATATAGCTGAACTACCGCATCAGCAATTATCTGGAATTACACAACGAAAAAATATATTTATAATTAATTCAACGCAGAAAATGGTTTCGGTTTTCGAATAACCCTGTTTGCGTTCTAGAACCGAGATTCCAATATAGAAGAATAGCTAGGTCTGTATAAATATTCGCTTAATTAAAAATAACAAACCAGTTCATGTATTTAAAATACTAAATCGCAATATAATCACCAGTGAGAAATAAAATACAGTCTTATCACGAGCAGAAAATGACGAGTAAACCAATTTCCTCCGGATATAGAAAAATTGCGATTTTCTTTTTTAAACTACCAAATGTTGGCTGTATTTGCGCAAGTGTTTTTTTTTTTTTTCATTTCGCTCCGTTCTATTTCTGAGCTGTGAATTGCCGACAATTTTTTTTTTAAACTGACAGAAACAGCTGTCATTTAAATTTATTGATAATAGTACGCACTGGCACTTAGTATGAAAATGTCTTATAGCTGGCGTAAAGTAATAAATTAAAGGTCCCTTTTCCACGCCTTTAGGCGTTTATTGCATTTAGGGCTAGACCTATTTTTTTTTTTTATAGACCAATCGGTATCCACTCAAGGCTGGGTCGGCCTGGGAATCAAGGTCATTTTTGATAAAAGTCCAGCTCTGCCAGGGATCGAACCCACGACCATCTTTTCCGCACGTTGGCGTCTAGCCGCTAGGCCACGCGACTCCCGTTTGTGAAATATTAATAACGAAATATTGATAATACAATTGTCAAAATTCTGACACAACAGAAGTTTGGAAAGACTTGTAAATCGTGGGCTGCTCACTAATTCGTTTAATGCTCATATTTTTAAAAACTGTAAAATAAGGGTATTTTACTAGATGTAAATAGATGTTTTCAAGACACGCAATTGCATAATATGCAGACGACTTTACTAACAGTTTTCGCCGAGTCCGTTGTGCTTTCTTCTCAGCACTGAATGTCGGTCAGATCCTCTGGTTATTATATCATTCTTCCCCAACTGTGATGTTCTGTTTGCTCTTTCACACTTGTTTTTTCTCGTGGACATAGACACTGGCCACACCCGTCATTCACCACTAAGCAATGTCGAACCAGAAGGTCTTTGCCCAGCTCTCCCCTTTCCCCACCAAAATAATTTTCTTTATTAGAAAACCTTTGGAGGAGGTTGGGGGGGGGGGGGGGGCGCCTCAATAAGCTTAAGTCTTGTTTGAGTGTGCAATAGTATTTTAAAATAATATTGAAACAATCATAATAATACTATTAATTAGAGGACCATTTTCTACGCTCTA